GGGGGGTGTCAAAGAGCCCAGCATTCTTCCAGGAAGCGTGGCGAGAAGGAAACATCACCTTCAGAAATGAACAGACCTAGATGGAGGAGATGTAAAGAAGCAGTAGCTTCACATTTGGATATTTTTGTCTAATAAAGGTTTCTGCGATTTTTATATTTTAAGAAATTAATGCATGATAATATATAATTTAATCATTCAGTCATATCAAAATGTGTGCAGTCATCACCACAATCAATTTGAGAACATTTTCTTCTCTTACTCATTGTTGCTAGCTCCCCATCCCCCCACCCCCACCATCCTCCCTTGCCATACCCCCAGGCACTTATCAATGTAGTTCCTGTCTCTACAGTTACCGATCCTGGAGTTCAGATAGAGAAAATTGTACAAAACGCCAACAGGAAGCAAACAGACAAGCAAAAGCCCAGCGATGCCAGAAAATAGATTTTTTTTTTTACTTATTAGAAATTCACCACACTAAAGTACCTAAACTTCTCCACGGACTCTCTCATTCTGACCACCTCTTTTCCACTTAAGGAGGCCTAGTGGCACAGTGGTTTAGCGCTCTGCTGCCAACCCACAGGTCCCTGGTTTGAACCCACCAGCAGCTGCATGGAGAGAAGAGCCTGTCCCAGTGTTCAGCCTTGGAAACCCTGTGGAGGGTCGTTCCAAACGGACAGGGTGTGGAGTTGACTGGCCCACACCCAGCAGTAACAACAACCATTTCTCCTTGAAATGGAATGAATAACGTTCGTCCCAACTGGTGTGAAATAACACGGCTCTGGGGTTTCCCCTAAAGTGCTGACAGGAGGGTGGAAGTGGGAAACAGATGGAATGAGATCATTGTTGGGAGGGGTCACCCAGGCGGTCCTAACTCTCAGCAGCCCCCCTACAACAGACCAAAACACTGCCTGGTTCTGTGTCACCCTCACAACTGTGGTCAGGTTCAGTCCATGAAACAGGGTTGGTGGCATGTGAATAATTGGATAGCTGAATGGTGAGCACACTGTCGTTCATTATCATCTTCCTACTTTTCTAGGTGTGCACATGTCCACAAGACAAAGGGGGTTTTTGTGTTTGTTTGTTTGTTTGTTTGTTTAATCCCAGTAATCCTTGCCCCAGGCTACTTCCCAAGCCGTTAGAAACCTGAGGTGCTGTCCTCAGAGCACCTTCAGCTCCTGAGAGAAGGATGCTGCAGAAATACAAGCCCAAGCCATCGCTCCAGTGGCCCCAGACCGACTGCATTCCGCCTGGAGGCATCGTTGACAAGGAGACAGAAAACACAGGTGCGAGCCCAGGGAGAGCATGACTGTGGCAGAGAGGACGCTACGCCGAGGGGTTCATTTCAGTGTGGAAAACTGGAAGCCCATCTGGGCAAATGGGTGATGTAGGAAATACATTTGCAGCATATCAAAAATATTCTGCCCCCGGTAGCTGACAATGTATTTCTGGCGTTCCATGTGTGTAACATTTAAGTCTCATGAATGGTAACGAGTAAATTTTTATTTATAAATCTCTGGCTCCCAGAGGCAGAGAGCGCAGTATGGAAATAAGCTCCAGCAGAAGCCGGTGGATTTCTACCACCTCCGCTCCTGTCTTTATGCTCTGACTTACCCACCGAGGTTAGGGAAGTAGCGAGGCAAGAAGCAAATCCAGTCCACGTCGGAAGCTGTGCCTCAAGCCACGTGGAGCCTACACTGCAAAGGGTGCAGTTTGAGTCAGGCGGAAGGAGAAGGGTAGAGCATCTAAATGTTTTTTTTGTAATGACGTGCCAGTTTTTACAAAACGATAGCACTAAGCTTTGTCCTTACTTGGGAGGAAGCGTATTTGAAACTAGGTGGTTGTTGGCTGTTTTTGCAAACTCCTGAGCTGTTTGCAACAGTAAAGAGCACTATGGGCAGGCTAGCCATCAGTCTGTAGTACAGCACCAAGAAAGGAGAAGAATGCTTCCTGGCTGTCTCGGTGCCATCTCCTGGAAGGAGTCCTAGAGGATGTGGGTGGGTGCTGGGTCACCTCAGCAGGGGCTAGCTAAAAGGGAAGGAAACACTGGCTTTTGATCTTCCATGCCTCTATGAATGGAACCCAGGATTGCTGAGAAAATCAGGAATCATGAAGTAAGGCAGTGTACATCTTGCTGTAATGTGAGCAGGACAGGCAAAATCCCCAAACTTATTCCATAGCTCATTGACTCCCCACTTTTCTAAGTGTACAAGGAACATGCAGATACAGAACTCCCTGCTATTGAGTCAATACTGACTTCTAGTGACCCTAGAAGACAAGGTCAAACTGTCCCTGTGAGTTTAAAAGACTGTAACTGCTTAAGGGAGTAAAAAGCCCGGTCTTTCTCTCACAGAGCCACTGGTGGCTTTGAACTACTAACCTTGCAGATGGTAGCCCAATGCACAACCACTCTGCCACCAGGGCTCCCAGTCACATAGAGAAGTCTGTTACTTTAGGACTGCTGATGATGTAAATAAGACAGGCACTGACAGTTACCTTTGTTAGTAAACTCTGGTTATGTACTCATAAAGATGGATCACGTAATTGATAAGGATTAAGGAGGCATCTTTGAAAAGATAAGAACATGCTTTTTAAAGAAATTTGCAAACTTAAAAAAGAAAGAAAGAAATTTCCTCACTGTTTAGGAAAATGGATCCAAATTCAGGGCACTTGTGTAGTCTCCCTTGGAGATCTCTGTGTCTGATGTGATAGTCTGGGTACACTAGAGAAACAAATCCAGAGACACTCATATGTGCATAAGAGAAAATTTTATATCAAAGAGCAATTGTATATTAACAGCCCAGTCCAGTTCAAGTCCATATGTCTGATACTAGTCTATAAAGTCCTCTTCAGACTCACACAATACATGCAATGATGCCGAATGCAGCAAGATCACAGGCCAGCGGGTGGAAAGCCTTGTGGATCCAAAGGCATTGTAAGCATTTCAGTGCTGGCCTGGGTCTCCACGTGGCTCCTCCAGCTCGAGGACTCTGGATCCATCATTGTAGCTCCACGTGTCTTGTCAGCAGGAAGATGAAGCAGAGAGTGTGGGTCTGGTCTCCAGTGAGGAAAATAAGAGTTCCCAGGATCCTCTGGAGAAGGCCATGCCCACATGGAGGCCTCATTGGCTATGACCTGATTGACAGGCTAGACTCCACCCCTTTGAAAGTTGACAGGAGATTATATACGCGCCACACCGGTATCAGTCTTGCCCTGGGTCTAAGAGGTTCAGCACAAGGACCCTGGGTCCAAAGAACATGCTCTGCTCCTGGCTCTTTATTCTTGATGGTAGTGAGGTTCCTGCTCTCTCTCCTTTTATCTTTTCTAAGATATACATGTGGCTGAAGGGAGAGCGGGGGTATGATTACGGTCAGCTGATGCCTGGAGTCAGGCTGTCCTTACTCTGGGAGGAGTA